CTATGTTCTAACAATTATATTTGTTTTAGGGTCACTACTACAAAAAATACATTTTACCTCAGATGCGAAATGCATTTAACCTCGGTTAAAGAAGCGAGGTAATGAAGGGCGTCATGAAAGTATCAATTTTATCCCTCGGTTTTTAAAACACTGAGGGGAAATGCTTATGCACAAGGGTTCGAATCCCAACTTTTTCACTTTTAATACTTTCAAAACTAGCGCATCAAACCTCTCAGTTTATCAATAACACTGAGGGGTAAGATTGATATTTTTTAAATTTGTTACAACCTACATAATATTTACAAATTAATTGTTTACCCATAATATTACATTGTTTACATAGAATATTTTTGTAAATATATATAACAAATTTTGAATTTGATTCATCGTCATCACTGTTGGTGAAGATCAGATGTTGAATCCTCGTTTCATTGAAATGTCGAGGAAGATTAAATGTTGGATGCAATATATTCTAGATCCCTTTTGCATTTATTTGTTTCTGATGTAAAACAAGAAAGGGTTAGTTAACTGAGTGAATATATGATTATTGAATTCACCGTAAAAAATTGATTATTGAAGAACACAAACCTTAAGCACAATTTATTTTCTGCTCTTGCAATCCATCATAGAGAACTTTACCAAGTTTCTTACGCTTCAAAGTTTTCATGTTATATGTTTCATTAACAATTATTGATATTCAAAATTATTTTATAATGGAAGTCTGTTTAGGTTTTACGTGAATCACTAATAGAAGTGTCTTGAGTATTGATACTCATGAAATGGATGTCACACATTTGTTTAAGGATGATGATCAATATCCTTAATTATCACGCCAAAATTATATCCCTAGTTTCTGACAAAAATCGAGGTAAATGGTGTATAATATTTTTTTAACATTACATTGTTTACATAAAATATTAAATTGCATTATTACAATAAATGCAGTGTTATCACAGTAGTTGTTGTTCTTGGAGAACAACATATCTTTGCTCTAATCCAGATCCTGTTGGATACATTTTATGCTCATTATTTTAAAGTTTAATGGATTGCATACAATCAACTTCTAAAGAGCTATCTACTCCAATTAATGAGTTATCAGTTCCAAACACTGAAATTTTTTTCAGCACTTGCAATCCATCATTGAGAAATTTTCCAAACTTTTTTAAGTTCCAAAATTTCATTATCTTGAGCAAATGTTATCAGGGAAAATACTTTCACAAGAAAGATATATAGTGGTGGATGTAAATAGTTTGTTATGGATTGATATCTTGGCAATCTCTTGAGCATTGTTCCTTTAAGAATATAGGGTAGAGATTTATTGTTGTAGTTGTGTAACATATTCCCTCGATTAAAAAATAAATAGGGGAAACATATTTTCTATTTTAAATAGAAAAATAAAACAAAATAAGTAAGCCCCTCGGTTATAGAAGAAAACTGAGGTGAATAATGTTTATTTATTTATTTTTAAATATTACATTGTTTACATAGAATATTAAAAAAAATCTAGATTCATCATCATCGTTGCAATTCCAGATTTTGTTGCATATATCTTTTCAAAGGTTGAACAGTCTTATTTATTTAATCTGGAAGCAGGAATGATTTTATGCACTTGCAATCTATCATAGGGAACTTTTACAACATTCTTTAACAGAGAGTTTTTTTCAAAAATACAACATCAACACCATTATGTAAGATAAATTGCAAGGTCAGAAAAAATGTTTTGTTCAAGGATATAAGAACATTGAAGATTTTTCTGTCTTGCAATCCATTCTAGAGAATGAAGCATACTAGTTTAGAGCGGCAACATATAAGTTAGGATTAGGGTAAAATCTGTTTAACGAGTGATTTTATAGTAAAATCTTATTTTATCCCTCAGTTATTAAGGAAACCGAAGGGATAAATCCTTTAGTTTTCACTTATAAACAAATAAAAACTTAAACTGCAATAGCTGAGATTTGAAGCATGTCCTGATTTATTTTTCCCCTCGTTTTTATTAAAAACCAAGGGAATATGATATTTTATTTTTATAGAAAAATAAAACATGGTGCGCCTTGACATAATACCTCAATTTTTCTGGCTGAGATGAAAGTTTTGTCATGAAAAGTGTTATTTGTTGTAGTGGGTATAAAGTTAGTTTTACGATTTTCTCATGGATTTAGGGTGTATCAACCTCAAAAATATCAATCTCAGGAAACTCATACTCAACCTCAATAAGATCAATATTAGGTAACTCAAGCTTAATCTCAAGTAACTCAGACTAGTCAAACACCAACTATGACAGGTGGATTAAGACATGCTAAAACAAATTCACATACTCAAGCAAGTGGATATAGAACTCCAGAAAAGAAGTTAAGCATTAGGAGACCAACAAGAAGTGTTGGATCACCATGTCCTATAACTAGGTTAAGTGCAACAAAGAATGTAGCGGGCCCTACCACTAGGCTCAGTTCATCTCAAACAAGCAAGAAGAAAAAGTAGATTCTTATGTTTTATGTTTTAAGTCTCTTTTAGAACCTTGTTATGGTGTAAGTTAAATTTAATGTTATGATGTTTTAGGTCTCATTTAGTACTATATTTTGGAACCCCGACAGGTGTATCATTATGATGTATTAGGTTATCTTTTGGTACTATATTTTGGAACCATTATAGTTGAATCATTATGATGTATTAGATTAACTTTTTCTATGTTTTAGAACCCTTGGTGTATCATTTTGAATGTTGGTAATTAATGAATGAAGATTAACTTTTTGGTTACTCTGTTTTGGTTTACTGATCCAAGAATGATGCTCTGAATTTATTACTCATATTTGGTTTAATGTTAAAACACTTATGCCCTTATACCAGTTCAATTATTAAATGTATGTATACCAGTTAAAACACTTATACAGGTTAAAAACTTATACCAATTAAATTATCAAATGTATGTATACTCGTCATAACACTTACACCAGTTAAAGTACTTATACCATTTCAATTATCAATTGTATGTGTATAGGTTAAACAACATTAAAATTTTATTATCACATTGTAGAATTACATTTCATTCATCTCATAAAACAACATTGTAGAATTACATTTCATTTATCATATAAAACAACATTGCATAATTTTATTACATTACCAAATTGTACATCAATACACTTATAACTACAAAACATAAATTTTTCCAAAATGTCTTCCACTTTATTGTGTTCTTGAGAGCCATTTCAAGTTCTTCTAAATCTTTTTTTGTGCATCAATTTTATCTTTATATCTTTCAATTCTTCCTTCATATTGAACAAATATTTGATGTTGATCTTCATTCTATTTTGCTAAATTTTCAACTTTTTTTTTGCTTCATGATAAACATGTCCTTATCATCTTTCACTTCACACTGCTAAAAATAAGACATTTGGTTAAATGATTTTACATCAGGTTTCAAGATATATGATGTCAAAAATATTTGTCAAAAGATTTTACATTAGATTTCATAACAATTTGAAGTGAAAAATATTTGATTTAGGGATTTATATCAGACATTTAATTCCACTAATGTGAAAAATAATGTGATGGCAGTTTCGTAAACAAAATAAAATTTTGTTATAAAGGATTTTACATCGGGCCTAGCTTTGCACCAATGTGAAAATTCATCTGATGGAAAAAATAACAAAGTGGCAGTTTCGTAAATAATATGAAGTTTTGTTATAACGGATTTCACATCGGTATTGGATTTGAACCCGATGTGAATTCGCGGGCCTTTACATCGGGTTTCGTAGCAACCGGTTTGATTTCCTACCTTCAATAATTTCACTAAAACCCTAGTTTTCCTTACAAACACAATTCTTTTCCTTTTGTTTCCTCTGAACCCGCCGCCAGATCTCCAGTACAGCACCGCTCTCGATCTCGATCTCAGGGTTTAAGGTTCATTAGTTAGGTTAGTTGGATTTAGTTTTGATTTTAATTTCGTTTGAAATAATATACTTTTCAGTCAGTACTGATTGCAGTTGCCCGTTTTGTCGTAGTCATAATTTTTTTAATTTTGTTCTTCGAAACACAATTAGATTCTTCATATAGTGGGTTTTTTTCCTTCTGGATTGGAATGAGTGTGGAATTGGTGGTTTTGCAAGTATGTTGGGTGGTTAGATCCTATTTTGAATTTTTATGAAATCCCTAAATTGTTTCTGATTTCTATTGTTTCAAATTTTACATGAGCTTCGAACAATTTTTCACATTCTTTAGACATCAATAGAAATTTGAGATATCTGAGTGATTGTGAGAATGATTTTGAAATAGATATGGTTTATGTGCACATGAGCAAACAATTTATAAAAAATTATGGTTTAACCAATTAAAATATGAGGTGTTAATCCATAATGAATGAGTGATAGAATTTTGGATTTTGTTCTTCATTTTTTTATTTGGTGTTTATTTTATGCCATTTTAACTTTGTATAAATATGGAATTCTATATTTAGCTTATAAACCTTTGTTGTGTTCTATCTGTAACATATCAAAATAAAAAATAAATGAATTTTAATTAAAAATAAATTAGAAAAGTTTAATCATAGCCATACTTACTTATTTTTAATATTTTCTTGTGTTCCACGCTGTGTAACTCTCATCCATAATAGAGACATTTTAATCATGACTGAGTAATATAAAGGTTATAGTAGATTACTAATAAGATACTTGTTTGATGTAAAAATTGTTTCTTAAGGTTTTGTCGAAGAACCTATGAACGTACTGATGTTGGTAAAAATGTTTCAACTTTTAGGAGTTATGTAGTATCTCTTGCTCAGAAGAGATGTAGTATTTTGCAAGATGAGTGGAAAGACATACATAAAGACATAAAAAAAGCTATTTGGGTTGATGTTAAGGTATTTTAAATTCAACAATTTATTACATTTTATAATCATATACTAACAACATATGCCATATACTAACACCAAATTCTTTATGTATATGTGTAAGCTCATTTCACTATTCCAGAATGTGATGATCCAAAGAAGGATCGATTAAAGGATGAATGGATTAAATATGCGGGAGAGCGATGGAGAGGTTTTAAGCCTGATACAAATTATAATTCTATATAGTGATTGTGTGTACTATGTGATGGAAAATATGTTGGATATTGTCTCTAACCGAGTCTTGGATGCAGGTAATAAAAATAATTTTACTTTGTTATTTACTTTATGTTTTGCAACTTAATGTGAATTTTCAAAAATAGCTTTATATTGTTATTTACATATTGTAGGTATTTGATGATCAAACATATTTGCGACATGTTTCTTTGAGTTATATAAAAATTAAGGTTTCTTTGAGCACAGTCTCAAGACCCAAGTCTTTACCACTAGGTCAGCCCTTGAGAGTTGAATAATATTAAACCTAGTTTCTATGATATATCACATACACTTTATACTCTTCCAATTCTACTTTGATTTAAATCTCAAACCATTATATTTCATAGAGTCATTCCCTCATTAAATATGTCCCTATAATAACCAACCATACAAATTAGTATGGCAATCAATATCATTCCTAAATTGATGTGGAAAAATCAACCAATACTCCTTAGTAATCTCACGTAAGGCTCCAATGACATAATTTCCATCTATTTTACATTGACAATGCCAACAACATATATCTTAATAAGCTCATGAAAATTCCTCAAGTACTTAGAATCAACTTGCTTGAAAGTTACCTAAATAATTGCTTGGAGGATCTCTAAGTCACTTTCTTGGATGGATTATATATGGGTTAGTTTGATAGACCTTGAGAGTATTTCTTTGGTGGACCCTAACATATAGCTTCTATGGACTCTGAGAAGGTTTCCTGCATGATGCCTGTGAATCTATACTTTTTGAATAAATATTTTCCACATGCTCTCACTATGAAGTCTCGTGATAAATGAAACATCTCTTTTCATTCTTACTATATTTCTTTTTCGCATATCATGTGGTTTTAACTTTACTAGGGGGTGAACACATATAAGTTGTATACGTATATGCAAGTTCACATAAATTTCTCATCAATTCCATTTTACCAATTAAATCAATTATATATAATTGTTTCCACAATGCATTCATGTATTATTTGATGTCCAACTCTAATCATTTTTTACCTCTCCATCCTCTAGTTGACTCTTTAACTTTAATTTCCTCCATGCAAGCTATGGTCAAATGAATTTTTATTACTAAGATCTATGCAATATTCACTTTTCTCAAATGATATACTTCAATAACAATATGCACACTAAACTCTATCATAAGATAACACATACAAAATAATAATATAATAACTAAAATGTAACAAACAACAATATAATAACTAAAATTCTACAAAGAATGATAACATTCATGTCTACATTTTAATATAAAATCACATACTTCTTAGTTGTTGTATTCTTAAAGAGCATCATTCAACCAATTTCGACTGCAACAATTTTTCTGTAAGGAGTCAACCAATTCAGAATGATCAATGTATGTCTACTCAAACTGCATCAAACTCTATTCATATTGATTCTTAGTAGTATAATAAATAACTCTTCTTTGTAAAGCTGACACTGCTTTTTGCTTTTCAATATAAAATCAAAAAAGTAAATTAACCCAAGTTGAATATATAACTACAATAATATTCATCAAACAAGAGTCAATATTACTCACAAACACCTTAGCAATTAAACTCTATAATTAAAAAATCTTATAACACCCCCATTATTTTAAGTGTCTAGAATATTAACATTAGTGCGTTATAATTGGTATTGGATACATCATAGTATTTTGAATACAACAATATCTAGAATTAAAAAACAGTCATGATACAACTAAACACGAGTACATAACAAAAAATACAAATAGATAAATAGTTAATCAAGGTTCACCTTCAATTTGATTTCTCTTTTTCTTTCCATGCAACATGTTATTTGAAAAACATAAACTATATGGGATGAGACAAACGGTCTAAGTGGAATTCTTTCTAAACCCTGAAAGTTCCTCTAAGGCTAGCTAAAATATATATTGGTCTAGAACATTTATCAGCAGGATATATTCTAAAGAGAAGCCTGAAGAGTACTCGATATCTCTTAGTTACATCCCAACATAAACTCAGTTCCTACGCACTATGGAAATTCCATGATAGTTACATACCCCTATATAACTCACATATCATTACCACGACAATTCTCCACATTCGAGTCTAGTTTATTGGATCATCAATATCTGACTACGACTTTGTGAGACTCTAATTCTGCTTTCGAGCTATATAGCCAGGGTCATGCATCATCATATGCCCATAACCTATAAACATTACTACTAACATCTACCACCCATTAACGAGGATGTAAATCAATATCCACATTGTCCTGTACATAACAAGATGTGATGCCACAACATATTAGGATTTACTATTGTTGTGAAAAATGATAAGGTTTAATTCATACTAAGAAATTTCATATGTGGGGACAAAGAACAATAGCAACTAAAATAATAGCCTTCAATAATAATAACTAATAAGACACTGAATTTTGCAGAATAAGATAAAATAAGGTGATAAACATAAAAGATTTGTTTATGATGTTTGATCAAATGATATACGTCTAGGGGAGGCAACAACTCTCTAATTCACTATACTTCAAAAGTTGTTACAATAGATTACAAATGAGTTACAAGAAAATAACCTTCAAAGTACCCAAGAACAAACCCTATTTTCTACCCGAGTGTTAACTCTAAATATAAGAATCACACAAACCCAAGATGTTTAGAAGTATTTTCGAATTCCCTTAGTTATCTCCAAAGATTTCCAAAAATCATTTCCTTTCTAAGTTTTCCCTTAGAATTCCCTAAACCCTTATTTCTCCCTTTTACTCTAAAACTCTAAAATTGTCACACTGTAAATAACAAAAGAGATACATATTTATAAATGCTAAAATCTAATAGATCCATAACAAAACCCATTAATCGTTAGTGAAATTCTGGTATGACAGAACTCAGATGTCATATGACATGTTGGGACATCTGATTTGACATAAACAAACAGGCAGGGTATTAACAATAAAAAAGTACTGAAAAGCATAAACAACACACAGAGTTGTTAACCCAGTTCGGAACAACCTTCCTACTCTGGAGGCATACCAAGCCAGGGACAAGTCCACTATGATAGTATCAATTCATAGACTCTACATTAAACCTTCAGTTTACGGCCTAATCACTTAATCACTACCCTTCCTATATTTCTATCTAAGACTCACCTAGATATGAGGCCCTCCTCAATCCCTCTTCAATCACATACAACGATTGAATCAACACAATTCTGAACAAACAGGAAGACACACTTCCATGATAATCACTAGCCAAGACTCTTGACTAAGAGAACAATTTGGAGTTGCTTCAAAGCTTCCTCTAAGAACAATACTCAAATCATTATTTCACACTTCTGAGTGAGAACATAGTGACCATCTCACAACCAGAATGGTTCACTAACACCACCTCTCCTAGAGAGTGGCACAAAGACAAGGCCCTATACTTCTACATCTTAAACCCGTGCTTTTCCTAGGTTACAAACACTTCTATTTATAACATATACCAACTGGATTTGGGCCTTCAAATAACATCTTTTTGGTTGTTACAAACAATAGTAACTTCTGCTACAAACAAGGTCTTCAATCAAATCTTCCTAAATTATCTCCAAATTTAGAAAATGTATATTCTTCAATATTTTGATTGATTCTTCTTGACCTTTAAATCAACACCCTATAATGTTGCATAATATTTCTCATAATATTCTGCATGAATTAAATCATAACAGAATCTAATTATCCACTTCAGCTCAGGCGCGATGTCTTATGCTCCTTCATAGGACATCTTATCCGACATGTTGTTCCAGGTGTTGAAACTCTTCAACTCAACATGTTCTAATATAAGATAGGACTTCTTGCTCAACTTGTTCCTGTTAGCAAGTTAACACATTCTATCTAACATATTATTGTATTATTTGTTTTACAAAAATTAATATCAATCCTTAAAATTAAAGAACTTACCGTTATAATAAAATATTATAAATATCTTATAATATCTTTTTGTATTAATTTATAGCGTCTCTAAATATATATATATATATATATATATATATATATATATATATATATATATATATATATATATATATATATATATATATATATATATATATATATATATATATATATATATATATATATATATATATATATATATATATATATATATATATATATATATATATATATATATATATATATATATATATATATATATATATATATATATATTCTAACATTAATTAATGGATCCGTAAACCGAACCGATC